GCCCTGTTCTGATGAAGAGTTTCGGCTCGAAACCTTGACTTACCTGCACCTTGAATGCTCTGTGACCTGCTGTGCTTTTTCTGCCTCAAGCCAATAGACTTTGGCTTTTAGCATCTGCAGTCCTTATTGTCTCTACACTCCCCACTCACAATACCCCAAGACCCAACAGACCCCTGCTGCTAATCCCCCATAGACCCAAAACAGCCCCACCCCCAATTTCCCATTGACCCAATACAGCCCCACCCCAAAATCCCCTTGGACCCAACATACCACCACTCCAAATTCCCCATAGATCCAACACAGCTGCCCACCCCAAATCTCCCATAGACCCAACACATCCCCCACCTCTACCCCCACAGACCCACCATGCCATCCCATCCTGACCTCCAATTCCCCAACTACCTCTAACACCTACCTGCCCACCGACTAACTCTGATTCTCCCACTGACACCGTTCTCCCATCCCACCAACACTCATGCCCTCTGATCTACCCCAGCCTGAAAACATCCCTGACTGTCCCAACCTCGTCCACCCGAGACCCAACAACACCTGACCCCAAACTCTTCATGGACCCTTTAGTAACTGCCAACTGCACCCACTCTTCTCCCACCCTAATTCTTGCCCCTCTACCCCTCCTGAACCAACTTTACATCCCCCAAATCCCCATAAATACACCTCCCACTGACCGGATCCACTCCAACAACCACCAAATACTTACCCAACACAACAGTCCCATACCCATCCTAATGCTTCACCATCTTCTGCCATCTATGCCCTTCATCCACCTACCACCCTATCTCCTCACTCACTTGCCATCTTACCACCTTACCCACCTGCCACTCCATTTCTTCACTCCTTCACCACCCTATCAAATGCCAGTCAAATTCCTCACTCCCCAGGCACACTACCACCTCACCCACCTGGAATCCTATCACCGCACCCACCTGATACTCTACCACCTCACTTGCCTGGCATCCTACTGCCCCATGCATGTAGCAACTTGCCACCCCATAAACATGGCACATACCACCCCACCCACCTGGCACCCTATTCCCTTCCACACTTATCATTGCTGAGTAGATGTGCAAGTGGCTTTGGATCTTTAAAGTGCAAATTACGGCAACTACTGCTGGAGAAGTGTACAGTTCCAGGGCCAATTCTCTCTGCTGTTTCCCATGTGGAGCCCTAGATTGGATTGCTTTGGTTGCAAAAGTTCCTGCTCTGGAAGTTCACTCAGGAAACTCTTCCCCCAAGGTAAGTGGGTGATTTATAGTCAATCTGGATTGGAAAAAACAGATTCTGACCAGATTGGAAGATTTGTGTCATTATCAGAAACATTCAGGGGACAAATTTTGTTCATGCCGTACCATTTCAAGCAGTCCATGCAGATCTGAGTAGAATCCTTGGGATTTCCTCATTAATATCAGACAAGAAACCTACATGAAGCACACAACTTACAGTGTAGTCTCAATCTCCAGAAACTGACATATTCCCAACAAAGGAGAGGTACATCTTTCCCCCTTAGTGTTTCAGATGTGCACAGAACTGGACTGAATTCTCTGAATACTGTCATTCCATAGCAACTGCTGCTTAAAGTGTACGGAATCTCACCTGTTAAATCTTTGGTCAAGTTATTGAAGATTGAAGTGCTCATCAGAGAAATAGTAACGTTAGGTTAATTTATGTAACTTGTTCATTGAACCAGCAACTTTTATGTGTTGTTCCCAGTCAGACACTGCCAATCATCAGATTGGGTAGAGCTCAGGGCAACATGAACATTAACTCCTTCAGAACCATTACCCTGTCACCAACCTTTCTTGTGGACCCAATCATTGAAGAGGGTGGAGTATAAAAGGAGGCTGTTGATTCACTATGTTACAGATAGCGGTTGCCAACTCTCCGGGATGACGAAAAAATGAAAGTTTCATCTCCTGAGCACACTGATGTGAGCGGAAAACCTGGCATTTTACCCTGCCCGATTGCAGGTGAGTCACTAACCCAAGGTCCCATCTGTTCTTACATTGCTATTTGAAACAATTCGTCCCAGTGCAACTGAAAATACCTGCAGGTCACACATCACAGTTTGCCAGAGTTCACGGTGAGCAAATTGTTTCCACATTTCAAAAAAAGAACAACAGTAACTTCACTTCCATAGGACAATAGGATGTAGGAGCAAAGTAGACCATTCAGCCCATTGAATCTGCTCTGCCATTCAATGAGATCAGAACTGATCTGATAACTCACACCTCCACTTTCTTGTCTTTTTCCCATAGCCTTTGATTCTCTTACTGATTAAAAATCTGTCTATCTCAGCCTTGAACATACTCAACAACCCAGACTTGACAGCCCTCTGTGGTAATGAATTCCACAGATTCATAACCATCCAAGAGAAGAAATTCCTCCTCATCTCCATTTTAAATGGATGACCCCTTACTCTAAGATTATGACCTCTGGTCTAGACTCCCCTGCAAGGGAAACTACCATTCCACATCTACCCTATCAAGTCCCATAAGAATCTAGTATGTTTCAATAAGGTTGCCTCTCATTCTTCTAAATTCCAACAAATACAGATCCAACTTACTCAACCTCTCCTTATAAGATAGTCCCTCTGTACCAAAGATCAGACTAGTGAACCTTCTCTAGACAGCCTTCAATGCCAGTACATCCTTCCTTGGAAAAGGGGACAAAAACTGGTCACAGACTTCCACTTGTGGCCTAGCTAGTATAGTATACTTTAAGCAAGACTTTTCCCTATTTTTGTTCTCTATTTCTTTTGAAATTATGGCCAACATTACACTTGCCTTCCCTATTACCTGCTGAACCTGTATGCTAGCTTTTTGTATGCACAAGGATTCCCAAGTCCCTCTGTGCTGCAGCTTTCTGTAGTCTTTCCTCAATCTTCAATAAATAAATTATTGGCTTTTGAGCACTTTAGAATATCCTGAGGTCATCAACGGTGCTATGGAAATGTAAATTGCTAGAGAGTTCAATACAACCAGGATGATACTGAATAAAAAAGGATTGGCCCAATCTTGTTAGTTTTGAGCTACGTGAATTCTGCATATTTATGAGAGGTGTTAACCTCTCTTTGGATGATCAAATCCTAACATGTTCATTCTTATTACTGGGATTTTAATGTGGGATTACGGATGTGCAGTGGTATGAAGTGTTTCTTGATCCTTGATAAAGTGCAAAGGTCGCAGGGCCGCAATTCCCACATTTAAAGGGGCCTTCTGCCTGATGCAGGAAAGAAGGCATGTTGGGCACCCAGTGATAGATTCCTTTCAAAGTGGCACCTCTTTGCTGCCTGTTTTGGGCCTCTTAAGATGCCCTTTTTAAAACCAATACCATCCTCATTCTTGCCTCAAGTAGGGAGTCAAAATGGGCTTCATTCACTTTGAAACATAGGTCAAGTCTATCTGTTGTGGTAAGGTTGCCAATTCTCCAGGATTGTCCTGAAGTCCGAAAGGATTATCACTTAATTTCTTGGACACTACTAAACGGTGGAAAACCCAGGCCTCTGTGCATTTAAAAAAAATATTCTTGAAACATTTTTGTTTACTAGTTATAACTTAAAAATCACTTTGTGGAAATAACATCTGCTTTCCTGGCAGTCAAGAATCTTTCCGTTTAGGTAATAGAGAGTGGACCACTCTACACCAGTGAAGGCCTGTGGCTGACTAGTAACCAATGGTGGCAATCAGTGAGGGCAGTATGGTTGGAGACATGAGGTGATGAGTTAGCAATCTAATGATGTTGAGAGTTAGCATTGTTTAAAGTCAGGCTGATGATGAGATAGGCCTGAAACCTCTCACCCACCAGGAGCTGGAGAAGCATATCAGCACTGGGAACAGTCTCCCATGTTGCATTGGGGTTCAGAAGAAGAGCAGGGAGTGACTGCATCAGATTGAAGAGCCACTCTTCAGAGTGTCAGGGAAGTCAATGCAGTTGAAGGTGGATTGATCTTAGGATGCTGCCTTGAGGACCTCCTACATTAATCGCCTGGGACTGTGCTACTTGGCCTCCAACAGCTACAAAACTGTTCATCTATGATAAGTAATGACCTCAGCCAATGGATAGTTCCCCCCAGTTCCCAATGACTTTACTACTGGGGAATGGACATTGGAGTGAGGAGAAGGTGAGAGGCAAAAACGCATAGAATCAGAAATGTGAAAATCTAAACAGCTGAAGGTGTCAATGCCAACAATGGGGCAATGTAAGTGGGGACTATGTAAAGAAGCCAGAATTGGAGGAACACAGAGTTCTTAGAGGGCTGTAGGGCTGGAAGAGATAGGAAGTAGTGCAGTGATATAACAATGATGAAGGATAATATGTTTTTGGTCTGGGATCAAAGGTATTTCATTGACAGTGAATGCATTTGAAATTGTAACAGATGTTCTCTTTATTGTAAAGTCTGTTTCACTCAAATGCAGCATGAAATGTAATTTTTCCTTTATTTATAGTAAGGTACGTACACTTACATGGCAAACATGCAATCTCCATCGCTATAAATGTAATCCCAATCTAAAACCATGACATTTCTTTGGAGAAGGAAAAAAACCAAAAACAAATCCTGGGTATGTCAAGAGATTAAAAGTTTGTGAAATTCCTCTTTGATAGAAAAGACTCCAGGAGGTCACTCTGACCCTAATCATTCATGTAGTCCCTGCCTTTGTTGCAAGGAAATCTCCTCAACATTGCCATGATTGGAGGCAAATTGGTCTGTGTCCTCCCCCGAACTGACTCTCCTAAGGAGAGATTAAATGGGCTGACGTCAATCTGCAGGTTAGCTCTAAAGCTGCTCTTAGGCTGGATTAAGAAGTAAGATCGAGCCATGGGATTGGTTTGCTGAAATACATCACTCTCCTTCACAATCTTGTACTTGGACTGCCCTGTTCATTCGAGTGGAGCTCAGTGAATCTCTCCTGCACTATGGTGGGTAGTTAGTTGTAGGCCCCTTACCTGTTCAGTGTGGAGATTGGGTGACAGGCCTTGGAAAGATGGCTTTTCGTAGCCTGTCCAATAGTCTGTGGAGGAACCAGAACAGCAGCTTCTACCCAAAGGAGACCATTGTCTCGGAACACGGGGAGACTGTAATTGGCATCTACCTGCTAACTCTCGGTATGTAGCATTGGTTCATACTCTACATTAAATCACATACATTACAAGCATTGTATAAGATCTATATAGAATTGTACAGATTACATTAAATCACTCATGGTACACAGAATGTACAGCATGGAAACATTTCTTTCATCCTCACTGGTCCATTCAAGGGGTTAAACTGTACACCACAGATGGTTCCTCCCACTCCTCTTCATCTAACTCCATTAATGTAACTTGCTATTCCTTTCTCCCTTATATGTTTATCATGCTCACCCTAGAAATGCATCCATGCTGTTCCCTTCAACCACTCTGACTGGTGATTGCAATCATTCTCTGGGGAAGAGAGGTTCCTCCTGCATTCCCTGCTGGATCTGTTGGTGGTTAGTTTGTTTTCATGATGACTAATTTTGTATTCATTAATGAGTGAAATCATCTCTACTTCCATCCTAACTGTAAAGATTTCTACCAGGCCATGCCTCAGTCTTCTCTTTTTACGGAAAAGGAGCTGCGGCCTTGTTTAATCTTAGCCTGTTGTAAAGTGGGATGTTCTATAGCAGAGACGGGTCATCTTGTAGTGAAAAAAATGCTTCCCTCACACTCCCCTCCTGGTCAGTATCTCCTTGAGTTTGGTAGCGAGTGTTCAAGATGAGACTTGGTGATCCACTTTCTCTGCGTTTCTTCCCTAGGCTGGTTCTCCTGGTTTGGAAACAGCATGGTGATATTTGTGCTGTGCAGGCAGAGAGCAACACTACAGGCAACAGATTATTTAACCTTTAACCTGGCTGTATCAGATGCCAGTATCTCTCTGTTTGGATACTCCCGTGGGATCATAGAGATTTTCAATATATTTCGAGATGATGGGTTTCTGATTACATCAATATGGACCTGTCAGGTAAGGCGCAATAACAAGGCAGTCTGACTGTAGTCTTTCTGAGCATCCTCCCATTGTAGAACTCTCAATACTGAGCGTTAAGATCACAAGTTCAAGTCCCACTCCAGGGAGTATAAAATCTAGACTGATGCTGCAGTGCTGTACTGAAGGGGTTCTACACTGTCAAAGGCATCACTTTATGATACAATACCAATATCCTCTCTATGTTTTCAGCTGGATGTAGAAAAACCATGTCACTATTTAAAACAGAGTGAAAATATTCTCTTCCGTGTTCTTGTCAATGTTCATGCCTAAAACAGGAAGCAATGAAATTGCTGTTCTTTTGGGAGCTTGCTGGGCTCAAATTGGCCACTATATTTTCTACATTCTAATAGTAAATATGTATATATATATACAAAGTACTTCATTGGCTGTAAGACACCACAAGATTTCCTGAGGTTGTGAAATGGACAACAAAAATACAAGCTCCTTTTCTCTGTGCATTCTGTCACTAGTCATGTCCATTCACCTTGATCCCCTAGATCAGGACTGTGACACTTTCCCTGAGGATATTGTTAATCTTCACCATCTGTAACGGGTAATAGTGAGATCTCATTAATTGTGAGTCTTGTCTTTTCAGATTGATGGTTTTCTCACACTGCTCTTTGGTCTGTCCAGTATTAACACCCTCACAGTGATCAGCATCATAAGATATATTAAAGGCTGTCACCCATACAAAGGTAAATGTAGTTTTGTTTCCACACTGTTAAAGGTACATCCTTCAGCCCTGGGATGCTAATGGTAACCCACTCACTGGAAAGAAGGGTGAGTGTAGCAGTGTCTCTAACTCAAATTCCCCCTATTCATGTCAAGGAATTTGGCTTTGAAAGAAAAATTTTTGTTATAAATGTAGACTGCCTTTTCTTTATTAGTAAGTAGGGTTTGGGCAGCATTAGGTAGGCAAGCATTTAATGTCTGTCCCTAAATGCCCAGTCAATCACATTGCTGTGGGTCTGGAGTCACATGTAGGCCAGAGCAGGTAATGATGATAGATTTCCTTCCCTTAAAGACATACTGAAGCAGATGGGTTTTTACAACAATTGACAGCTAGGTAAGTTTTTAACTTCAAATTTCACCACCTATCAGAGCCTTAGTCTGAGGTTCTGGATTACTAGCCCAGTGAGATTAGCATGACACCACTACCTCCCATATAGTGTGGGCTCTCAAGCTTTGTAAATTCCTGCCTGAGTTTTCATTGTCCCAGTCTTTACAGCTCCTGACTATTAGCAGCTATATTTTTAAGGAGTCCTTACTTTCTCACAGTGTCTCATATTGGACTGGGCATTTTAAATAATTAATATTAATATTAAATAATATTAAATAATTAAACACTGTGTCCCTGTTATACATTCTTTATACATGTGATGGGAAAATGAGAGACAAAGTTGACAGGGCAAAGGTGGAAACATGATGAATGGGAATGGGGTGGTGTGGTTTGTGAGAGAAAGGGTGAGTGGGGGGAGGATTGTTGAAGGGAGGAAGAGAGGTGGGCAAATGGGGTGACAAGGGTTTGATGCGAGTGGAGGGGAATGGGAGAGGTGGGGATTGATGAGGGGACAAGTAATGGGGAGAGGAGTGTTGAGGGGGAGGGTAATGGGGAGGAGAAGGTGTTGATATGGGAGGGGAGTGGGGATTGGTAGGGTTTAATGAGGGTGGGAGGGAATGAGGGAGGAGGGAAGGGGATGAAGAATGGAAAGGGAGGGAGGGGGTAAGGAGGCCAGACCTGAGACAAGGGCTGTAAGGGGGCTAAGGGATAAGTCAGCAAATATAGAACAAGGTCAGATAGTAGGAACAGGACGAAGGGTAGTAACTGACTAGGACATTCAGGATACTTCCCTCACACAGTCCATAGGAGAGAGGCTTGGGGAGCGGATTTTCTAGCTGACCTTCAGTTTGGAATCCCCTACAGCTTGTTATAATGCTCCAGAGACAGATTAGCATCTGAATCACTGGACTGAAGATGGAACACTGTTACCCAACTAATACCTAGAATCAAATTACAAATGGTGTTGCTGTCCCAGGTCTCGGCCTAATGCTTGCTATGATGTTTCTGCAGCTCACTATATTAACAGACAGAACGTAAACCTGTTGATGACACTGATATGGGCCACTGCTCTCTTCTGGTCAGCATCCCCTTTGTTTGGATGGGGAAGTTACAAAGGTGAGTCACAGTTGCACAGGAGAGTTACAGTTGTACAGGTGAGTTACAGTTGTACAGGTGAGTTACAGTTGTCAGCTGTACTGAAGAGTCAGAGTCACATGGGAGAATCACAGTCATGTAGGAGAGTTACAATCACACAGGAGAATCACAGTCATGTAGGAGAGTTACAATCACACAGGAGAAACAGTTACACAGATGAGTCATAGTCACACAGGAGAATCACAGTTACACAGCTGGGGCAGTTATGTTTCTCACTGAGCTAGAGAATTGAGACAGAGTTGCCAACCCTTCACGTTTGCCTTGGACTCTCCTGGAATTAAACAATCTCCAGGACTTTGTTATCAGCAAGAAAATTGAGGGATGAAAAAAACATTAAAACATTGTGTTTATAAAAAATAAAATGCTTTGGGTAATTTGTTAGCTATAAAATATCTGAGGTACGAGAAAGGTCTTCTTGATGGTTAGAAAAAAATCTCCCAATTAGCTCAGGAAGAATGTATTTGCTTTCTGATTGGCCATGGGAAGGCGATACTGGCCATTCTGGGTGACTAATGGCATGTGTTTAGAGGCAGAAGATGGCTCTCACTTTGCTAATATTTTACATTACAGTATTGACGAGATAATAGAATCCAGTTATTCAGTTTCCAGCTGAGCACATAGATTAGAATGAAATTTGATAACTGATTCACATGCAGCAATTTCTACAGTGATATGACCAGATCAGCTTTTCTTTAGTGAAGCAATCTAAGACTTGAGAACAAAAATCAGAATGAACATACTAGTGCCATACTGAGGGAGTGCTGCACTGTTAGAGGTGCTGTATTTCAGATGAGATGCTAAACTAAGGCCCACAAAAACAAGCAGGTTTGGGCTATTAATCTGGTGATAATATGAATTCAACTCCCACCATGGTGGGTTTGAAGAACTTAGATCAGCTTAAAAAAAAATGCTGGCATCGTGTAAAAAGTAAAACTTGCTTATCTCTAGCACCCCTTGTAACCGCAGGACATCCAACAAAGTCCATTTGAAGTGAAGTCACAGCAAGCTGCAATGACCAGATAATATGCTTTGGTGATGTTGATTGAGGGATAAATCTCAGTCAGAACATCGAGAGAAAGCTCTGCTGCTCTTCTTCAAAATACTGCTGTGAGATCTTCATATCCACCTGTGAGCAAAGGCAGAGCCTTGCTTAAATATCTCATTTGAAAGACAGTGTGGCGCTCCCTTAGTACTGTGCTGGTGTCTCAATTCTGATTTGTCTTCTCAAATCCTTGTGTGTCTCACTAAAAATAAATAACAGATCTGGTCATTATCAGTTTCCAATTTACGGAACCTAGCTGTGTGAAAATTGGTTGCCACATTCCATGTATTGCAATCGTGACTCCAATTTGGAGAGGTGGTCAATTAGTTATAAAATACACTGGGATATTCTGAGATTGTGAAGGGCATTAGTGAACAAGAGTGCAAGTTCTTGCTGTCTGTAGTTCTCTCTTTTGTGCTTTCTGTCAGTCTGTCTACATCTCATTCACTTTCCCCATCTCTCTTTTACCTGTTTGTCTTTCTCTCTCTCTCTCTATCTTATTCTCTAGCTTTATCCAACAGGTCTCCCCAATTTCTTTCCTCTCTTAACCTTTTCCATTACTTTTCCACAATTTTCTCTTTCATTAACTTTACTTTATTGTCTCCTTCATTGGTTTGTCCATCTTTTTATTTTTATCTCTTTTCCAATCTCTCTTTCTAACTGTTTTTCTCTGTCTCCTCTTGTCCTTTGCCATAGACCAGATGTATGGGACATGTGAGATTGACTGGGGCAGAGCAGTGTTCTCCACTGTCTACAAATCCTACATTGTTTCCATCTTTGTCTGTTGCTTCTTCCTGCCAATGTCCATCATGCTCTTCTCGTATATATCCATCATCAACACCATCAAGTCAAACCGGGCGCTGGCAGGAGCAGAGGTCCAGGGAGACCGCCAAAGGAAACTGGAGAGGGATGTAACCCGGGTGAGTTTTCTGACACCAGGGTCTGGAGTTCGGGTTCAGTTTAAATACATGAAAGAACAAATACCTATTTCTCACTGGTGAGAGTGACACAGGGCTGGGGGTGGAGTGACACAGGGTTGGGGGGAGAGTAACACTGGGCTGTGGTGAGAGTGACACTGGGCTGGAGGGGAGAGTGACGCTGTGCTGGGGAGGAGAGTGACGCTGGGCTGGGGGGAGAACGACGCTGGGCTGGGGGGAGAGTGACGCTGGGCTGGGAGTAGTGTAACACTGGGCTGGGGGGAGAGTTTGACACTGGGCTGTGGGGAGAGTGACTCTAGTCTGGGGGTATGAGATACTAGACTGAGGGAGAGTGACACCAGTTTCTGGGCAATGGCAAGCCCCCAGGATATGAATAGTAGCAGATTCACTGATGGTAATGCCATTGAATGTCAAGAAGCGTTGGATAGATTCTCTCTTGTTGGAGTTGGTCATTGCCTGGCATTTGTGTGACACAAACATTACTCGATATATATTAGCCCAAGCCAGGATGGTGCTGAGTGCTTAACAGTGAATGGGGACAGCATGCTCCCATGAATGTGCTGTTCAGTTCGAGTTAAGTTAAGAAATAATGGTATTGATGGCAAACTGTGTCTGCACTTCCTTAACCTCACCCCTATTTCACCATTTCCAGGTTTCAATGGTGATCTGCACTGCATTCATTATTGCCTGGTCACCATACGCAGTGATCTCCATGTGGTCAGCGAGTGGACACCAAGTCCCAAAGCTTACCAGCCTGCTCGCCAGCCTCTTCGCCAAGTCTGCCAGCTTCTACAATCCCATCATCTACTTTGGAATGAACTCCAAGTTCCGCCGGGATGTCATGACGCTCCTATTTTGTGTTAGTGACAAGGACAACGTGAAGCTCAAACGGATCAAGGGGTGTTCAGAGAGGGGCCTGGAACGTGAGGCAGATGTGCTGAGGGACAGCCCCAACTCCGGGCTGGAGAGCCCAGATAATGAGTGCCAGGGATCATCGTACTTCCCCAACTGTGAGAATTCAGGTTATGAATGTGACAGACTCTAGGGGGTTTGCTACAGAGAGGTGTATCATTACTGTAAACAACTTGCTGTGCTGAAACAAGCAAAGTGTTACCACTTGTCCTAAAAATCGCCACACACAGAGATAGATTAATGGTCCATTCCCAAAATCAACTCTGTATTGTGTACCACGGTGACTATAACATCCTGACAATCAGTTTCTGCCATTGAGTCTCTCTAGATTGCAGGTAGTGTCATAGCACTGTACTGGGACTGGAGACAGGGTTATCACACAATAGAGTCTCTCTGTACTGTACTGGAGATAGAGTTATAACACGATACAGCCCCTCTGTACTGAGTCTGATAATAGGATGAGAACACTGTTGTTATAATCAAAGCTGGAAACACACCCTCTTGCTTTCGGTTCACTACTCTTGTGTCCAAAAAATACAATGATAACATTTTATTGCAATTACCAAGATGGCCAATTAAATATCAATATCAAGTTTAAAATAAAAACATCGATATCTCAGGTTCTTTTAATAAATGTGCGATTATTAATTTATTGTAAAGCAAAATGTATTCAATGAAAATGCAAAACTAGCCAATGTGTAAAGTGTTTAATATGCTATATAAATACTTATCCCCCAAAATACATAAAACACCCTCACAAACACACATCAGGGAAATGGTAAAATAAAAATGGATTTCTCTGCAAAGTTTGCCTTTTTGGACAAGAACACTTTGGCCAATGCATTTTAATCTTTGAAGAGGAAAAACTTCAGATGTGAAAAGTTCATATCGTCTTCTGATCCAGTGGACTGGTACCTGTGAACATGCCATTAAACACACGCAGTTGTCTGTGAAGTCTTGGCAGATGTAGCTTGTTCAGGAAATACAACATTAAGTGATTCTCTCAGTCACTTTTCCAGAAGAATGAAGAAATTTCACCTTGACCTCACATCCCGAAAAACGAGCTGATCACCTTGGCAAGCCTTTCCCCCACTGAAGACCAGAACAAACCCAAACCAATCACTGTTCAAACATTCTCATCAGAAGATCTCAACTAAAACAAGCAGTTATCATCTGTCATGTGATTTCTATGAAGACATTTGTGAAAAAAATTCCAATGACAAAATGTCATTTCAACAACCTCTTTTGAAGAAACCACTCCAGATATTTCCACAAATTCTGAAATTAATCCATTTTCCACATTTCTTCAAAAGTTACATCCTCAATTCAAATATTAAATATGCAGCGTCATTATAACACTACAGACCTCATTCTGTTCTGGGAGTTGAGTTAAGGTTACAACATGAAAGAATTAATACAATAACTCAAGCGAAGATAAATTTGTAATTCTATAGACTCATTGTATACTGGAAGTAGATATAAGGATATAACATTATAGACCCATTCTACACTTTATTTTTCTTTCCTGGAGGGTTGGCATTATTGGCAAATCAGCATTTGTTGCCTTCCTTAATAGTCTTTGAATGGAGTGGCTTTCTCAACCATTTAAAGTTGAATCAATCACATTGCTCTGAGTCTGGAGTCAAATGTAGTTCAGACCAGGTAAGGAATGATAGATTTCCCTCCTATAGAGCTTTAGTGAACCAGATAGTTTTCTCACAACAATCAATTATCATTGTCATAGTTGTCACTGAGACTAACGTTCAGTTTCAGATTTATTAATATAATCTGCAAACTTTCAAAATAGGAATAGAAGTAGACCATTCAGCCCCTCATGCCTATGTCATTTAATAAGATAATGGAAGATCTATTCATGTTTCAAATTCCACCTTCCCAAATACCCCAACAACCTTTGATTCCCTTGCCTAACAAGGCTTGATCTACCACCACCTAAAGTATATTTGATGACCCCATTTCCAACGCCTGCTGAAGCAGAGAGTTCCAAAGTCAGTCATCTGAGAGAGAAAAGAAAATCCCCTCACCTCTGTCCCAAAAAGGTGATTCCTAATTTTAAATGTGTCTCCCAGTTCTGGACTGACCCACAAGGGGAAGCATCCTTTCCATGTCCACCTTGTCAAGATTATTCATGACCTTATACAGTTCAATCAATTACCCTTCACTCTTCTAAACTCCAGTAGAAACAAGATCAGCCTGTGCAACCTGTCCTTATAAGAGAACCCACTTCTTGCAGATATCACGTGAGTAAATCTCTGAACTGCCTTCAATGCATTGACATTGTTCTTTAAATAAGGAGACCAAAACTGCACACAGTATTTAAGATACAACCTCATCAATGCCCTGAATGACTGTAGCATAACATCCTCGCTCTTATATTCAATTCCTCTTGAAATAAAAGATGGTATTCCATTCGTCATCTTAATCACTTGTCGTACCCCCATAATAACTTTTTATAACTGTTCCTCATACTAGAACACCTTGATCTCTCTGCACCTTGAAATTCTATAATGTTTCAATGTTTAATTCATACTCTGCTTTTTCATTCTTCCTGTTAAAGTGAACAACTTTAGATTTTCCCACATTATACTCACTCTGCCAGATTTTGGTCTTACCACAACTTGTCTCTAACTGCATTCCTTGGTGTCCTCTTCACAACATACTTTCCTACCTTTCTTTGTGTCATCTGATTATTTAGCGAGCATGCCTTGCTCCCTTTATTAATAAGAAGTTCAAGGCAGGAGAATGAGGTTGACAAACAACATCAGCCAATGGTGGAACAGACTGAATGGGCCAAATGGCCTAATTCTTCTCCTATATCTAATTGTCATATCTAAGTCATTGATCTAAACTGTAAGAAGCAGAGGCCCCTGTAAGAAACAGCGTGACCAGGCTTATCACATCCTGCCTGTCAGTAAAAGATCCATTTATGCATTATCTCTGTTCATTGCCAGGCAGCCAACCTTCTATCCATGCTAATATGTTACCCTGTCTGTTTCTAATAACCTACTCTGACTCTAATAACCCACTATCGGTAAGAGCCTTCTCTGTTACAGGATGCCCACATTGAACTAGTGAGGAAGAAAAGAGAGAAAGAAACATGTGCATTTATGAAACTCCTTTCACTTCCTGAAGAGATCTCAAATCATTAGAAGCCCAATGAAGTACTTCTGAATTGCCGCCCCCATTGTAAAGTGCAGCAGTGACTATGTGCACTGCAAAATCCCACAAAGAAGCTGTTTAATCTGCTTTTGGAGCAGATGGATTTCCAGGCAAATAGAGCAAACATCTTGTCAAGGTTAAATGCATAATTCTGTCTCTAGATTCTGCTCTGCTAATAGCTTCAAATCCCATGTTTCAAATTTTAAGCATCTTTTGAAAACTGAGCCCAGCTTACAGACACCACAAACAATATGATGAAAGTTTCACAGTTCCTGTGCAGCTGGAGTTAACTTTTCAATTCCCTAATAGTCTTTTAGTTGTGTGAAGCAACCTGCTCAGATGTTTCATGACTCACATCTGGAGCAGGTGGAACTTGAACATAGATCTGCTGGCTCAGAGGAAGTGATGCTAACACTATACCACAAAAGCCCCCACGTGGTCTTTTAACCTTCCTGTAATGAACTCACATGTAGAGTAAAATGATTCAATGATTTATGCTGCTCTCCATTTGAGTAATGAGTTAAAACACAGTCAAGAACTGATTAATGGGGAGATTTCCTTCATGATGTGAAGACAATTCTGCAGAGGGCAAGTAACTCGAGACAATACTTTACAAAATGCCCATACAGCGAACATTTATGTTTTGGACCAATATTTTATGCGATATAAAAGCATAGTATTTTCATCCAGAAGAAAACACAAGATTAAACCTGAGAATATTATGAGTTTTATTTCAGCATCTTACTGAATTAAAAACACAGAAGGAGGCTGTTCATTCCATTATGTTAGTCACTGTGCTAGTTCTTCAGCAACAATAGTCCACCTGGTATATAATTCCTGGTCCCAAAGGAAGCACCAACATAACACCTGGCGATGAGAATGGGATCTGACCCACAAAGTGAGCAAACGTGATTTTCTGTTGGTCCAGAGATGTCATCTGGACTTTGGGAACAGTGCAGGATTACAGAGGTAACATCAAGGGAAGCAATCATGAAGGGACTGGGCCACAGTTGACATCAGGAAAGAAGGTACTCACTGGGGAGTGGGCCAAGAGTGGCATCGCATGGCTGATGGCTGAAGAAGAGAATATACACCTAGGAGCTACTGAAACTTTCACTGAGGGGACTCAGGCTGCAAATAGATACTAGACTCAAATGGAGGGAAAACAAAATGGTGGACCAGTTGGGGCGATGGGACCATTTGATGAAGAGTCAGAAAATTAGATCCTGTGCAGGGAATGCTTTAATACTCTCTTAAAGGTAAACAAAGTGGCTGAGCACATCATGATACCAGTTTTCTTAAATAGAATTGGGAGCAAGACACTAAGCTGTCCAACGGAGGCTATGAACAAGGAGAGACCTAGATTCCAAGGCAGATTTTGAAATTGCTACCTCAATGGAGTTTGCTGCCAGTGAATCGATATAGTTGGCTGATGACACCCGAATGCATCAAGTAGTGGAAACTTGGCAGAGTGTGGTACCAATCATAGAATGCCGCCACTGTGGTAAGACTGGCCACAGGAAGGCAACGTGTTGGACTCGAGAAGCCTGGTGCCACAGGTGTAAGTGAGTGAGTCATATTGATGGCTTAAACCCAAACAAGAGAAGTGGAGTCAGAAAGAAACAACCCTGAGGGACAAGGTATAAAGTACATGCGCCAGTCAGGCAGTAGACAGGGAGTCAGCTGGGTCTGTGGACCAAGCAGAAGGCCCAGAGTCAGCAGAGGTTTTGTTAAATATCCTGTATGTTCTGGATTCTTCCCAAAGTAGACTGGAAGACAGTAAAAATGGAAGTGGATACAGGCGCAGCAGTGTCCCTGATTCCTGAATTGGGAAATGTTGAGGGCGCTACCATTGAAGTGTGCCAAAATTATATTACGGACATACACAGAACAGGTAGTGCCACTGAAGAGCTATCTATTGGTGAAAGCATAGTGAAGAGACCAGTGTGGAGAATG